ATCATTTTGAAGCAAATCAGAAATAATTTCATGGTAAATGTTTTAGTATGTATATTTTGAGATAATGCCCCACTCCACAAAAAAAAAAAAAAGAAAAACAGGTTAATCACAGTATCATTATTACACCTAAAAATATAACAATAAAATCTGAATAATTCCTTAACAACTCAAATACCCACCAGCATTTTAATTCCAATAGTCACACAGTCACTTAATAGCATAAATTAATATTTAACCAAACTCAATATTGAATGTTGAGATTGAACAATATGTTTCTGTATTCTACTCTACAGAGTCTCTCTTTTCTTTTATTAGTTTCATTCATGTACTGGATAAAAGGGTCATTTCTCTAGATTTCACAATCAACATTTTGTTGATCAAATACCCATGCTGTGCAGCCATACACATATAGGCAACAGTAATTGGACTTAGTGAGTTATAAAAGAGAAAAGCATGAAGTTGGGAGGTGGATATGTTGTGGGGTATGTGTAGGGGAAGTTGGAGTGGGGAGGGGTGGGTATGATTATATTTAATTGTACACATGTTGTCATTTCACACCCTGCTGCCTCTCAGACTTCATGTGAGTGAGTTGAGGTTTATCCAGAACTCCTGCAGAAATGCATTTGCCAGGGAAGCAGGGTTGGAAAGTGCGACCTTCAAGTGGGTTTAATGTCATTCTTTCTAAACTGAGTAAGGTCTCACAAGCATGGCTCCTCACTCTCTGAGGACTGGGTTTGTTGCCACAGGAGTCAGGACCCCTTTTGTCTTCCACACACATCCACTTGCTCCTCTTCCTCTGTCTGCTGTGAGTTGAAGCTACGCAAAGACCTCATGTGAAGCTAAGGACATGTTAGCTCTAGGCTCTTAGACAACCTCATACGAAGGGAAGGACATACTAGCACTAGGCTCTTAGACAACCTCATACGAAGGGAAGGACATACTAGCACTAGGCTCTTAGACAACCTCATACGAAGGGAAGGACATGCTAGCACTAGGCTCTTAGACATCCAGAATCATGAAGCCAACTAAACCTCTCTCCTTCATAAATGAGCTGATCACAAGTATTCTATTTCAGCAGCTCAACATGAATTAGAACCATGAG